TTTTTTCTTCTGACCTGCTTCTCCATCATTCCCAGGAAGATATTCCAGCTTTTCCCAGTTACTAGACCAAAATGTGCTCCATGCCGTTCACCCTTATTCCTGCCTCAACTCTGTCCTTCTTGAACCATCAGCTCTCCCAGCACCCAGCACAATGCTGGACCAGCTGTGAGCAAAACAGACTGGCTCCAATACTTCCACACAGATCCCAGAACCTCACACAAGCAGTATGCTCCTTGCAGAGGACAGAAACCTGGATGTCAGAAGACAGAGGCCAGCAAATTCACAAGGTCTTCAAGACCAATCGCTGCCTCTTGAGCAAACCGACCACATGCAAGTTCTCACCTACAGCAGTATTTTGTTCAGCCTCTCATGCTAGAAGCCCTCCTGGCTTACAGGGGCAGCAAATGAGAGGACAATATTTAAGGAGATTGAGTTTTCCCATCTAATAGAATGGGATAGGACTTTTCAGCATGCAGATGGGCAACAAGAGCAGGACAGAGTTTATAAGGAGGGGAGGAGAGTGAGAAAAAACCCCATGAGAGGAATGACAGATTTGTCTTTACAAACAAGCTGTGGGTCTGCTGATAAGATGAAACTATCACTGAGAGATAACAGAAACAATGGGATGGATTCCACTGAAGGATGAAAAAAACTGAGGAAACACCATAAATTCCATAAGAGTTAAGAATTAAGAGGGCGGTTATGCACTGGGGTGGGTATCTCCGGTATTAGGCATTCTGGGAAGTCTGTACCTCTCAAGTACCTCAGCCTATGGGGAAAGAGAGAAGGGACATGCGGCCAGGAAATTAGGATAAAAAGGAGGCTGCACCCTCCAAAAATTTGAGAGACCCCAGGGGAATGCCCCATGGCCTTTCCCTTTATTTGAATGAAGTAAAAGGACTCCTCTGTCTCCTTTTTGGACATAAATCTCTGGTGTTTGTAGATTAATTTTCCTTACAATTTGGGGGCTCTTGTCTGGGATATTTCCACTGTCCGGGCTGGTGGGCAGTGAGCAGAGTTGAAGGCGTGCCTCACCCGGTTTTGGTGATCAGCTCCTCTTGGTGGCAGGCGATCAACTGGGTTCCCAAGACTGTCCAGGAGACAGACAAGTGGTGGACCAGGGGGATCTGTGAAGAATCCACAGGGAAGGACCACTGAAAATCTCACCAGTGAGTAAAATGAGATCTTCAGGGAGCAAACCTGGGAGGGCACCCATGGAGGGTAGCACAGGTAAAATAAGGCATCTATGGAGGGTTGCAAGGGTACAGTTGAGAAGGGGCCCCAGCAGAAGGGATGACAATCCCAAAATATTTCCAAAGAATCCCTTGGAAGAATGTGGAGTTGGTTTACACATTCTCACAGAGGTAATTAAGGATATAGACACCCAAAGGGGGCAATAAGGGAAAATCAAGAAGGGGTCTTGACACTCCATTCCCAAAGGGGGCAGTAAGGTAAGTTGAGAAGGGGTCTCGAGAATCCACGCCCGGGGGGGCAATAAGGGGAGTCAAGAAGAAGTCTTGACAACAGGAGATTGTGTTGCAACATGTTGGAACAGAATTGGTTAAAGGGGAGGGTGGAGAGCTATGGTTGAGGCAAGGAGTGGCAGGACCAGGCGCAGAAGTGTGGGACCTGGAGCACAGGCTGGGGGCCTGTGGGGTTGCTGGGACTCAGTGCTAGGCAGTGCCTGACCCTGCCAGCCCCGGGCAGGGGCGGCTGTGGCCACTGGCCCCATGAGGCTGCGGGACGCCCTGGCCACCTGTGGTGCTGCCAGCTATGCCTGCTGGAGCACTGAAGCGGGGAGGAGCTGTTTGGACAATGTGGCAGGACAGGGACTGGCTCTGGTATTCGGTGCATGATAAATAGAGTGAGCACATGGAGGAAAGGCGATGGCAGAATTTTTCCCGCCCAAGAGGGAAAAACTGCAGGGCCCAAAGGGTCCTCCAGGACAGAGAGGATGGGGTTGGCCACAAGGAAGTGGCAGAGGTGTTCTCTCCTCAGCAGGGAAGACCCAACCCAAACAGTGGTTGGGAAAAATCTGTGGTGCTGTCTGCAGGGCAGAGAGACGCTGAAAACGGCAATGTCTGCAAAAAGAGCTGGACTCTCAAGAAAGTCCAGAAGATAATGGAAATGGATTGTTAAGGGTGTCAAAGGCTCTCATTGTACCAGGAACCCACCAACCTGGAGGCCTTTGTTAACTTTTAAAGTGGGTCTGGATCGAGAGGAGGTGTATGTCCTAGTGAAAACAAGGACCTCTCGATCCACCTTAATTTTTATCCCTGAGGGGGAAAAACTGTCTAAAGAATTTTTTTGATTGTTCAAGGGAGTTGTGAAGATTATGGTTTCTTCTGTGGGCTCAGAAGATTGTATGCATATTTCTCTGAAAGGACTGTAGAAATTGTAGTAAACTAATTTGGGGATTTAATTCATTTGTTTACATGAAGTTTTGTGCAGAGCTGAAAGGCTCCAATTTGGAGGGGACTACACCCCTCTGCTTTTTGTATGCTTTGTTGCAAAGAGCCAGAATTGGCAACTTTCAGTTATGAAGCCAATTCTACCTTGTGAGGAACCAGTCTTTGGTTTGTTATGGAGAGCTAGAATTGGCAAGTTCTAATCCTAAGGCAAATTCTGCAGCTGCAGCCTTGTAGGGATGTTATTGTCCTATGGAAGCCTAGATATTGGTCATGCAGCTTCCTCTGTGGAGGCTGTAAGGAAACTTTAAGGGAAAGTATTTTATTATCTTTCCTTAATAAAGGTTATAAATGTTAAAGGTTATAAAATGTTATAAATATTAAGGTTTCCTTAATAAAGGTTAATTTGTTAGTCACTTCCCTATGCCTAAGATGGACTTGGTGCAAAAAATTGGGATAGGGAGCAATTGGTTACTAAAAATAAAAAAATGTGATGTGATTAGCTTTAGGCAGTGGCATTGCTTGCTGCTGAACTAGATCATGTTTATACAGAGTCACCTGTTATGTTTGGGCAAGCTTTGCAGAAAATATTAGGAGAGTTTACTCCACCCTCAAGAGTTAAGTTGTTGCAGTATGTGGATGTTAAACAAAGTCATGCTGAAGGAATTTTAGTGCAAGAGCAGGGGGGAACACAAAGTCTGTTGCCTATCTTTCTAAACTGGGAAACCTGATAGCCAGAGCCCCATTGTCTGTGGAACTGTGAAGTCACAGCTGTGATGATGGCTGAAGCCAAAAAGCTGACAAAGGTGAGAGTATCTGACTGTTAAAGTTTCACATCAGATTAAAGCTTTGTTAACTGAGAGAGCCTCTAAGTGGATGACCAGAGCTCAGTTATTACAGTATGAGTCTTGTTTAATGGAACAGGAGGATTTAGAATTTAAAAGTGGGAAAGGTTTTAACCCAGCCTCCTGTTTGAACGGCCCTGAAGAGGGGAGCCAGGGTGAATTCCATGACTGCATTCAGGTAACAGATCGCCAGACTAAGGTAAGGGAAGATCTACAAGACATTCCATGGCCTGAGGGAGAAAATGTGTTTATTGATGAGTCTTCTCCTAAAGGAAGGGGGAAGGTTACCGCCCACCTGGTCAGCTCAGACAGCGGAGCTGTATGCTCTTGTAAGAGCCTGTGAATTATATGGAGACAAGACAGTAAATGTTTTTACTGATTCTAAATATGAATATGGGGTGATACATGAACTTGGGAAACTATGGGAAGAAAGAGGTTTATTAACCTGCAGAGGAAAGACGTTGGCTCATAAGAACTTAATCTCCCACCTTGGAGGTGGTGAATTTACCAAAAAAGGTAGCAATAATACACATCAAGACGCACCAGGCAGGGTGCTCAGAAGAGGCAACAGGAAACAGACTGGTGAAGAAGCTTGAAAAGCTGCATAATTGTCAGAAATCTCTAAGATACTTCCCTTGCTCCCAGTAACTGCACCCTTGCCAGAGAGGTTATCTTTTCCACCAGAAGAACTCAAGATAGTTAGAAAGAGTGGGGCAGAGGAAAGAGCGGGTAATTGGTTTACAAGGGATGGTCAGCAGTGGATACCAAAAGCTCTACAGCCTTACAGTTGTTAAAACAACTTCATGAAGGAAGTCATTTGGGCTCCCGAAGGATAGCAGAAGCCTTCCTCAAAATGTATGCTGCTGTGGGTCTTTTTACTCTGGCAAAAACAGCTACTGAAAGTTGTTTGATTTGTGCTAAAAGCAATAACAAAGTTACAAAGAAACTTGCCAAGGGAGGAAGGCCTTGGGCTGTAGGTCCCTTCCAGAGATGCCAGGTAGATTTTACTGAAATGCCTCGAGTAGCAAGATTTAAATCTCTTATGGTAATAGTATTTCAGTTAACAGGGTGGCCAGAAGCATTTCCAGCTGTTTCAGCAACTATAAGGTCAGTTATTAAAGAACAAATAATTCCAAGATATGGGATTGTAGAAGCAATAGACTTAGATAGGGGAACTCATTTTAAAGGAAAAATTCTTAAAGGAGAATGACTGCTTTAGGGATACAATGGAACCTCCACACCCTCTGGCACCCCCAAAGCTCAGGCCAGGTTGAAAGGATGAATGGGGAAATAAAAAAACATCTTCTGAAGCTGGTGATAGAAACTAAGATGCTGTGGGTGTGGCTCTTGCCACTAACTTTGGCAAGAATAAGGGCCAGACCCAGGGGGGATATTCAACTATCTCCCTTTGAATTGACGTTTGTAATTCCTTATCCTTGTAATTCTCAGCCTGGGGCGGGGATAGAGATAAGTGATGTATATTTAAAACAATATGTGGCCCGGATACTGTCTCTTCTGAAATCTCTTTGACAGGAAGCTCAGCTGGCACAGACCCTACCTTTGGACTTTGCTGTTCACAACATCCAAGCAGGAGACAGGGTCCCTAGTTAAAGAGTGGAAAGAAGCACTACCAGTGCTTCTAAGCACTAAGTGGTGTGGACCTTTCCAGATGTAGCTGACCACAGGAACAGCCATCAAGACAGCTGAACGTGGGTGGACCCATCACACTTGGGGTCAAGATCTCTGAGGCCCCAGAGATTTGGACATCTCAGCTGGAGGAGAAGGATGGGAAGCTGTGACTGACACTCCGCAGGAGTGGGCTGGAGCAGTAGCCATGCGTCAACACTGGGGGAAGCCCTGAGTGCCTACCCACAGACTGCCTTCTGAAATAGTCTGTATGGGCATCCCTACTCTCAGATCTCCAGACACTGGGGGCCAATCCATGCTGTCATTGCTTTCTTTATGCTAAGCTGTTTCTGTGCCTTCACTTGCCACAGGTGGTGTGGAAGACAATGTGAAAGTGAAAATTAGGTAAGGAAATTAGATTATTATACTATTATAATGCTTCTCTTAATAATCTTACTTTTATATTGTCAGTTAAGTTGGGGCCAAAAGTGGGAAAATAATTTTTTAACCTCAGGAGAAGTAGCAAAAACCTTTAACCTTAACAATTGTTGGGTCTGCGGAGGGCCAGGGGGATCTGAAAGCTGGCCATGGGTGGCCAGCCCAGTGGAGCCTAAATGGTGGGTTAGCACCCTGAGTGAAGTCCATAATGGAACAGGATTTTGGGACAGAGAAAGAAGTCCATGGCAGCTTCATTCTTCTGAAAGAGGCATATATTGTCTAAATAGAACAGGTAGCATGTATGTGGGAAAAAGTGTTTGTGAGTGAACTTTATCTTTGGGTTTAGATTGTTGAACCCCCAACTGCCCTCCTTATGACTGTTCCAGATATTAGGCAGATGGAATCAAACGCATGTTAAGCTCACTAATGGTAGCTGAGCAAGGTGTTCCTTTCATAATTACCGAAAGATTTTGAAGGCTGTAAAACAGTGGGGAAAACTAAATTTTTTGGTTTTGTTTTTTTTTTTTACCTCTTATTTTTCAGCTGCCCCTGAGACAATTCCACAAGTAAGACACATGTTATCTGACATGCAACTGCAAGTGGAAACCTCAGATGGGAGCTTGAAAGTGCAAATACTATGAATCTTACGGCAAAGTAACTATTGTTGGGGAATCACTAAGCCCTGAAAGCAAGCTGTATTTTGATGATGAGAATTGGAAAGGTCCCTTTGCCAATGGGACTTGGGCTTTAAAGGGGAATTACTGGATTTGTGGCCGATACGCTTACTGCAGATCCCCGAACTGGTCAGGGATATGTTATGTGGGGTATATTAGACCATTGTTCTTTCTGCCACCACAAGTTCAGGGAAATCAGGAGTCTATGTATATGATGACCTAATTAGAGAAAAGCAGTCAATTGATGCATCCCTAGCTGGAGGAAGCAAAGATGAATGGCCACCTGAACGAATCATACAACACCATGGATCAGCTACCTGGAACCCAAATGAATTAATATCAGGTGCCAGAGAACCCATTTATAATTTAAATCAGATAATTAGGTTGCAAGCTGTCTTTGAAATAATAATTAACCAGTTACAGCTCTTGACCTTTTTGCTGACCAGTCTACTCAGATGAGAAATGCAATACTTCAACATTGGGTGGTATTAGACTATTTACTAGCAGAAGAAGGAGGAGTGTGTGACAAATTAAAACACTCAAACTGCTGTTTGCAAATAGGTGACAATGGAAAGGTGGTGAAACAAATAACAAAAGGAATAAGAAAGTTAGTTCATGTACTGGTCCAAACATGGAAAGGATGGAAATGGAACATGTTTTCATGGTTACCTGGTGGACTATGAGTTAAACAAATGCTTTTTTTCCTCTTATGTGTTGTAGCAACTCTAATCTTTTCACCATGTATGATCCCTTGCTTAGTACAACTCATTCAACATGTTATCAAAGGGATGCAGGTAGTAGCCAGTACCTACTGATCCAGAGATGGCTACAAAAGGGCAGAAAGTAATGCCACTGCAAATAATTGCAAAGCCAAAAAAGACCAAAGAACAAGAAATTAAGTCAATGATAACTAAAATTTGCAAAGACAATTATTAAAAATTAAAAGGAGAGACTGAGAGGAATGACAGTCTTTACAAACAAGCTGTGGGTCTGCTGATAAGATGAAACTATCACTGAGAGATAACAGAAACAATGGATGGATTCCACTGATTGAGTGAAAGATGAAAGGGACACTGGGGAAGTCAGTCATCAATTCCACAAGAGTTAAGAATTAAGAGGGGCGGGGGGGGATGGTGCTATACATTAGAGGGGAGATCCCAGGTATCAGGCATTCTGGGAAGCCTGTACCTCTCAAGTACCTCAGCCTATGGGGAAAGAGAAAAGGGACATGCGGCCGGGAATTAGGATAAAAAGGAGGCTGTGCCCTCCAAAAATCGAGAGACCCCAGGGGAATGATCCATGGCCTCTCCTTTTATTCGAGTAAAGTAAAAGGACTCCTCTGTCTCCTTTTTTGACATAAACCTCTGGTGTTTGTGGATTAATCTTCCTGACACTGAGACACTCATTCTTTTGCAATAAAGTACTTTCATTAAACAACAACAGCCCAATACCTGCAAGACACATAAGTGTTAAGTTATGTCACTTGCATCACATGAGCATGAAAAAGCCACACTTATGCCCAAAACCAAGAAATTTCTGTAGTTCTACAGCAAATGTCCTTTTCAACTACATCCCAGCTTTTCTGAGAAAATTGTAGAGGAGCAGGAAGATGAGAGGACTGGTATTTCACAAGCAAATGGAATATCTAGCATCTGAAAAAGTATTTCCACTTTCTGAGGAATTCCACCAGGGAAATAACTCCACACAGAAGCACAGACAACAGTTTTCTCATGCCAAGCTGTGGCCTTTATAGGAACACAAACTAGTAATGATAAATCTTAGGTTTCTTGTCCTCACCTAAAGAGCCTCTATATTTCTGTGCATGTATCATGAACAAGAAAGGCCTGAAGGAGTTTAACAGTCTTTCCTTAAACCATGCCCCACTAAACCAAAGATTCTGGCATATGGAGCTCCACCACATACAGGTGCTGAGGTTTTAGAAAAGCCTGACAAAGACACAAACATGATTTTTTTTATTTTATTTTTTTTCTGGGAGCCTGTTCTAAGATGGGGACAGAGGAAGGAAATGTGTTTGGGACACTGGGGGAATGAGCACAGGCTGGAGCATGCTGGAATGAAGGCGAACTCCCACCACGCCATTAGATCATGCATTCTTCCAGCACTCACAAACAAAGGCACCATTGACTCCTGTGCGTGGGCGGCTCCGGACAGCAAAAGGTTGCCCAGTAAATTATTGCATGATAATTCAACATTGATAGGTCATCGAGGCTGCTTGTTTTAGTCATGTTTCCAAAGGGGGGAGGCCTATTTCCCCCTATGCTGGGCTGAAGGCAGCCTTGCAAAAAATGCATTTTTTCATTTGATCACTTTTAAGTCAGTGTAAAAGTCAAAAACCATATCCATTAATTCACTACAGCTTGATGCCTTACTTATACAGCTTTCATGCAAAGATGTTAAGTCCATTTCCCAAAACAGCCAGCTGTGTTTATTCACTGGGGACTGGGAAGATCCCATGTCCAGCACTGAAGTCTAGCTGCACAGGAAGCCTCAAAGTCCTTTTTCATCACAAATGATAAAAGCTCTTTTTAAAAAGGCCCTTTACGCTTGGCAAGCACAGAGATCACATATGATCAAGGATGCCAGGGGCCATTCTGGGGAGGACTCCATATCATTCATGTATCTGGACTGCAAAGCTACCTCCTGCGACCAGTATCAGCACCAAAACAAGCCAGATTGGTGTTACTGTGGGTTGGGATCCTTGCAAAGTTCATGTGCTTATATCTAAGGTCCAGAAGTTCCTCCACAACTTACACACAATACGTATGGGTGAAAACAGGTCACTCCCACAACACAGGAAAGGAACACAGGAAAGTGGGAGTTTTTCTTCACTAAAGGAGTTTTACCCAAGAAGCAAAGGGAAAAAAAAAGATCAGAAAAATTTATGTATGTAGAAAAGACAAAATTTGTCTTTTGCCTTCTATTCTTGACAGAAGAATGCAGAATTATTACCTTGCTTTCATTGCTGACAGTCCAATGACAACACCAACAGCGCATGCAGTAATAGCAACCCGTGAAAACTGACAATTCCCACCCATTCCAAGTCACTGTGGGACCTTAGTGTCCAAGCAAGATGACATTTTCCTAAGAGCTTTTCTCATGTTGGAGAGACAACTACCATCCAATAAAATCTGAAGCAAGTAATCACCACCACCACAGCCCCACAAAGGTCAGAGCTGGTGGCAGCAGCAAGCAGGCCAGAGAAGAAGAACCAAAAACCTTTCCATCGAATTGGACACTTTCCATCCTTGATCCTTGGCAACAGGAAAAACATCTCTCATGGATGTTTCTTGTTTAAGACGACATCTCCACAGGAATCACTAGAAAGCTAGAAGTCTTATGCACTTTCAAGTAATTCTTATAGTCTTCAACTTAAAGATCAAATCCCATTTTGATATCTCCTCAGAAATTTTAATTTGACAGTAGGAGTTTGCTGCATGACTGAGACAGAACTTCAAAGGAGGGGTGCAACAAGTAGCCCAAGAAAGAAGCTTTAGCAAAAAGAAATCAAAGCCCAAGCAAAAAGAAGTCAGATTTCGAGATGAAGTCAGAGTTGAAGTCACTGAAGTCAGCAAAAAGGGGTTGAAGTTGTTTACTGAAGTCATTGAAGTAATTTATTATTTTCAAAGTTCAGTTTATATACTGTTGCAGCCCCAAGCAGTGACAGCCCCAAACAAAAATTTCTCAACAGTTACAGAATCAGCCTATTGTTTGCGTTATTTGGCAGCCTTACAAAACCACATAGTTTCAAAAACCTTGATATCAACATATACTGTACTTTTACCAGCTCTTCCCTTTACATCCGTGGTTTCCTATCCCATGGTTTGTACCCAACTAAGGCCAAGATATTTCGATCCGCAAGCTCTGCTGTGCTCTCTGTTCTGTCTTGCACTTGTTCTCCCATAGAAGGTGCTGGAGAGAGTATTCCTGATGTTCAGTTCCAACTGTACCTTTCCAGAGGTGGAGATGTGCAGATGGAAAAATGACAGAGAAGAGAGATTAAAAACTACTTTCAAATTCCAAAAATTTAAATAGCTAAAGAAAACTGAGGTCACAGCTTCTTTAAATATGGTATTTGGCCAATTGGCAAAAACATGATTTCCTGTAAAAAGAAAATAAGTCTATTGGACTGTAGTGCAGTACCTTGAAAGAAATGTAGTATCAGATAATCTGGTGAGAGCTGTAAAACCATTTCTTTAAAGGACAACTAGATTTTACTGACTTCTGAGGGGAAAAAAAAAAAAAAAATAATTTTGTGAAGTCTGTTAGTGCAGGAATGTCAGCAGGTTTTCCTGAGGCCTGTTTTCCTTCTGTATGCCCTCCCAGGAGCCTCAGCCTCCAGCAGCTCAATGTCCTCCTCCTGCTCTTTCAACCAGCATACTAAAAGTCAAAGCATATGTGATGCTTCAGTTTCAGAAGTGAAATAAATCCAGATGATCAGAGCCAAAGATGTCCTGACCAAAGGCAGCATGAAAATTATTCTGGATGGTTCCCATATATGTGTGGGTGAGATGTCCCCTGCTCCTGGCCCAGCACTCCTGAAGGTGGGCATACCAGCTCCTACTGGAGCACTGCTGCTCCACCCAATTCAATGACTCCATCATTTATGATAATCAGCCACTAATTTATATTAAATAACATTTTGAAGCCTTTTCCCCTGTCAAAAGGCAGCACTTTCCCCACTCACCTCTGATCCACATGTGCTCACAGCCTGCAACAGCTCTAATACCTGGCTTTGCTTCTATCTGAATTAGATATCAAAACCACACAGCTCATATTGTTCAGCTTAATTAAGAACAAATTAAGTCAAATGTCTGTATATGAGTGCTCTAAGCAGCAGCAAGTTCAGCAGCTCTGGGAGTAACATGACCCTCCAGACTGACTCACACTCTGGCTGTACAGCCACGGAGAGGCCAGAAATGTTCCTCATACAGAACACTGAATTCTTTGGAATTTTGATGTTTTACTCTCCCTTCAGCCTTTCCACCTCCCACTCACCAGCCCCAGATTTTTTTCAGACAGAGGCCATAATTAACAGCACTGTTATTTGGGAATAATATTGTTGCTGTGAGCATCCATCACCTGGCCTGATGCAGACTCAACAGCTTTCTTTTCTTAAGTATTTAAGTTTCGCCCTCTTCAGTAAACATTTAAGAAAACTATGAGCACGT